AGAAAGTGTTTATCTTCTTTGCAACCCTATCAGCCCACCCAGCACATATTCCTTGCCCCAGAATTTCCTCTTCATTCAGCATTGGCTTTTTGTTGGTTTCACTCCCCCAGGCCTGTTCAACATCTTGAGAGCCTCCAAAATTCCAAGCAAATTCATCACAAAATTTGCTATAGTTAAATATTAATCGAAGAAGCTGCTTTCTCAATTTTGACATCTCTTCCATTGTTTTCAGGTGAAGCGAGTAGTCTCTGCAGAACTCAACTCGGCTTTTAGAACACTCAAATGACCGTAAAGCATGGGAAATGGTTAAAGCATCACTGCTAGGGATGGAAAAATCTTTCCGTGCTTCTCGAACCATGGCTTTGAGCTTCTTCTGGCTCTTCCTTTCAAGTCGATCCTTATGTTCTGGATCAGGGCCATCTTCATTTGTTTCTCTATCAGTGTTGCCCTGAACTTGAAAAGGATTGGTATAACTTAAAGCTGATGCAGCAGCAGTTGCATATCCCAATATGAGGTTAGATCTAGCACATCCTTCCTGACTCTTCAACATTTTAATTATTGTCAAAAGAAGACGAGAATGTCGTGGGCTCATTGGGTATTGCGCCATAGCCTTTCCCATTGATGTAAGTTTTTCTTGGTTGTCAACTGCTTCCAATATCTTCAAGCAACGCTGAGCTTCAACCAAACTTTCCTTGTTAGGAGGCGTAGGGAAAGGAAAGTTTTCAACCTGTGATTATTAATATTTTGCATGAAATTTAGCACAAAAGGCAACACATCAGAAAAAGATGATTAATGAAAAAGATAAATAACTTTTAAGTACATTACCTTATCAATATTCATAGACTTGAGCATAAGCACAATGCCTTCAACTGGCATTTTCTTGATCTCCGGCTCAGTGAATTCAGGAAATAAGTCATCTTTACTGTATGCTGCACCTGAGTAAAGACGGTAACAGTGCCCAGGCCCAGTTCTTCCAGCTCTCCCAGCACGTTGGGATGCTGATGCCTTGCTTATCCACTGTACTTCATAACTTGCCATCCCAGTAGCATGGTCATAGTTCTTAACCTTTTCTTTTCCAGTATCGACCACATATGTTATGCCAGGAATTGTTAAAGATGTTTCTGCAACATTAGTTGCCACAACAACTAATCTTTCCCCTTCAGGAATATCGTGGAATACTCTAAGCTGCTGCGAAGCTGGTAGCATTGCATAAAGTGGTAAAACACGGAGCCTAGCACGCGAAGCAGAAGGACCTGACTTTTCTGCAATTGTAGCATTGCTCGCTTCCTCAGCAGTTTCTGGTTGTCCTGATATAGCTTTAAAGGATGCATTCAGTACAGATGAACTCTCAGCACCTTTTAAAAATGATAACACTGGCCCATCTTCTTCTGCGGTTTCATGTGCAACAGAATCCTCCTCATCACTGTCAGTTTCCATCTCACTCTCTGTTTCAGCATCAGAAGAAGCGACATTTAGCTCATCATCCGTTTCATCTTCACCATATGAGGAAAATATGTCGTCTTGGTGCTCAGGTTCAGTTCTATCAATATCATATGCTTCAAAAATTTCCTTCTCTTCTATTTCTGGTCTTGAACCATTCTCATCTCCAACCATTTCAGGCTTCTTACCAATTTGCCGCTTGGATGCTCTTTGCAATTTCTTACATAAATAATCCACTTCTCGTTGTCCAGTAACAAATACAAGGATTCCACCTGGTGGTAGACTCTTGTGGATCGACAGAACTTTCTTATAAGCCTGCGCTAAATAATCGTCATGTGTCCTCTTTGCGAAGTGAACTGTTACTGGAAATTGTCGTGTAGGCACCTCTACAGCTGGTGGAATCACATCAAACAATCTTCTGTTTGAAATAAAGTCTTTTAATTGCAAGGTAGCACTCATCAGGACCACTTTCAACTGACTAACCATATCTGCCGGGTCAATCTTCATCCCAGAGCGTATTTGTTTCTGTTGGTCTGCGTACACAAACTTTCATACGCACAGAAGTTAGTAATGCCTGTATGTTTTACCTTTCATCAAAATGAAGATGAAGTAAGCTCTTGAGTTTCTACCTTGCGTGCCTTTATAACTCTAGAAAGCATCCCAATAAGTATATCTGTGTTCAAACTCCTTTCATGTGCCTCGTCCAAGATGATCACCGAATAGTGCTTCAACAGAAAGTCACTCTGCAGAAGACCACTAAGCCATCTGATAAGGAGTTTCAATCTTTATTACAGACACAACTTCCATTAAAGTGATGCATATGAATTTCAGAATTTGTTTTACAGAAAAAATGTGCAAATTATAAAATTACGGAAGACAACTGATTGTGAATGGTACAGTTAGGGAAGACAGCTAAATGAGTGATCAGACTTAACCAAAGTTTAAACCTCGCTAAAGTTATTTATAAATTTGAGTCATCTCATCTGCAGTTATGGCTTTTGATGCATTTCAGGTTGTGGAATAATAATTTAGCACCAGTTATCAGTTTATTACAACAAACACGAAACTTTAATGAAGACATGATATTGAATAGAGTAATAAATAGACTGATAGAAGTAACAAGGAAAAGCAAACAGATGCACAACCTGGACCTCTCGTAGCAAAATGCCATCTGTCATGAACTTGATGGAGCAATTATTTCCCACCTTTTTGTCATGTCTAACTTGAAAACCAACCTCCTTTCCTAGCTTAAGTCCTAACTCATAAGATACCCTCTTGGATGTGGCAAGAACAGCAACACGCCGTGGCTGGGTGATACCAATCATCCCTTTTCTATCAGCTCGATTGCTTGTGCCAAAGCCGGCTTCATATAAGAACTGCAGAACAAATAGCATAGAGAGCAATAAAAAACTTGGCAGATTCTTAATACAAGCCTATAGGATCAGAACTCCTAGTTTAAACCAATGTTTAAGAGGCGCCATGTGTAAGCACACTCACCTGAGGGACCTGAGTAGTTTTACCACAGCCCGTTTCTCCGCACAGAATTACCACTGAATTTTCATAGATAGCTTCCATTATTTCCTGCTCCATCATTATTATTGGGAGATCCCTCCTCGCCTTCTCAACCTCATGTGGTCTTGACACATGCACAACAATGGGAGAATTGAAGCACTCCTGTACAGCGGCTTCACCTTGTTGTGGCTCTTTATCCTAACAAAAACAACAGAAGGATAATAATTCAGTTAAGTCAGAACATGGGACCAGCTTTCTGAGATGAATATATTTCAGATGCGGACCAGTCACCTGCATATCAATCTCTACACCAGAGCAACTTGGCACAGATGAATGAACTGTCGGATGTACCAAAATGTCATCATCATCATTAGTCTTTTCAGTTTGTTGTTTCGGAATGCTCTGATGTGCCAAAATGTCAGCATCATCATTAGTCTCTTCAGTTTTCTGATTCACAATGCTCACACCAACACCATTGTTAGGCTTCACTGCGTCACTCTCATGATTCTTACGTTCACTACCAGGATGATAGAGTTTCGCGGCCTGAACTAACTTCACCGGGCTAGCTTCCGGCGCAGCTTCAGTGTTTTCAGGAACTGGAACTCCTGTCTGATCAGAGTTTTTCTTGAATAGCGAAAGTTCTTCAGGGACATCTAAACCAGCCTTGGATAATTGCATGGCACGCCTACGTTTTTCTTTCATAGTCGCAGCCTGCAGTGCAACAAAATACCATGAGGAAAATAATCCTGCAATGCGAAAGGAACTAATCCAGGTGCTAAAGATGGGGCCACCGTACTTGACCAATAGACCCTGAAGTGTGCAGCAGCGAGTATGCCTCATCAGCGATCCTGTGCTTCCTATTGTGCAGGGCGATTGTCATACACAGTCGTCAGAAGAAATACAAACCACCACAGAAAGTAGACATCATAAGTTTACGACATACTGCAAAGTCTCGATGCTTTGAGCTTGCAGCGCCTTCTTTTGTTTGTCCTCCTGCGAACAATCAGACCGGCATCAATATATGCTGATACAAACACCAAAGCTGGATATCAAGAGAAGAAGTCCCAACCTCCAATTTCTGCAGCTTTTTCAGCTGAGTCTTGCTCATCTTAGCATCTTCCTTGGTCTTGTTCTTCTTGCCATCCTAGCAATCCAGAAAACAGAGGTTCACACAATCACATACTAGCATCTGGTCAGAAGGGAAACCAAGGCACGTGGGGCAGATAAAATGCACCCATTATTATTATTACCTTGCCTTTCCCTTGCGATTTGTCCTTCCTCTTGCAGGGCAAAATCAGCACGTTGCTATCAACAGAAGGAGTCCCAACCTCCAATTTCTGCGGCTTTTTAAGCTGAGTCTTCTTGCTCATCTTAGCATCTTCCTTGGTCTTGTTCTTCTTGCCATCCTGGCAATCCAGAGACCAGAGGTTCACACAATCATATACTACTAGCATCCGGTCAGAAGGAAAACCAAGACACGGGGGGCAGATAAAATGTACTAGAATGTACCCATTATTACCTTGCCTTTCCCTTGCGGTTTGTTCTTCCTCTTGCAGGGCAAGATCGGCGCGTTGCTATCCTCCTCGTCCATGCTCGAACTGCGACATGAAAAAGCATCAGAAACCGCGGATACAGCGCGCCACGTATGCGAGTAAGGCGGCCGGAAACTCACACTGCAGCTGCCGCCGCCGACGTCTGCCGCGTGGAGATTGGAGCTTGGCCGCGGCACGCTGGAGGGCGGACTCCGGGCAGATAGGCCGAGAGGGGCGACGGAGGAGGGAGGGGGCGGCGCCAACGGAGGAGAGCAGCAGGGGGATGGCGGCGCCGGCGCGGGTGTGGCGCTTGGCTAGGGCTTAGGGCCGTGTTGGGCTTAAGTGTCGCGGAGCCGCAAAAAGAAGAGAACGGCCATAAGGGCCCACTAGCCCACGAACCTTTCTCTCTAGCCAGTGGCCTCTTCCGCCTTCCGGTCCCGGTCAGAGACGAGACGACGACGGCCTCTGCCTCTGCCTCGTCCGCCCCCTGAGCCTCAGATCGCCGCCGCGTCCGCCATGGCGGCCGGCTCCGCGGCTCCCCTCCTCGCGGCCGTCGCCTGCACCGTCCTCGTGCTCCTCGCCCCCGCCGTCTCCGGTGAGTTGGTCCTCCGTGCCCCTCGCCTCATCCAAAACCCTCGTTCTCAAAGCAAAAGCAAAAGTAATCCTCGCCTAGTTCGCCGTGCTTATTTTATGTGAGAATTGAGTCCAGTCGAGGCGATCCCACGCTTCCTTGGAGCCTTCCGTTCGCTGCTGCTAAGCTTTAGGGTGAATCCGCGTAGGGATTAGGTCGTCCGTCTCAACCTATAGGTGAACCAAGTAGTGGACCTTGTTGGCTACTAGTAGTTGTAAGCTTTGGCAAGCTGCTGTGCTGCTCATTAACTGAGCATGGATTGGTAGTTGCTTCGATATGTGTCCGCGGCTTGTGCTGCTATCTCAGTTCTAGAAGTGTTGCTTTGAGCTAGATTATACTAGAGCCACACCACATTTGTAAGGGGAATGCATCGTGATGCCTTACAACTGCAAACGTTTAAGTTTTGGTCTGAATTGAAGGTCATGATTCTGGGACTGTGTTGGCGGAATGAGACTGTGTGCTGTTATTACAGGCGATTTAGTTACAAAACTAGTATGGTTGCTTTGCGTGCTTGCATTGTTTTTCGCTTGTGTCTTGTGCTTGAATAGCTTGGAGATAGATTTGCAAAACAATGTGATAAGTTCTGGCTTCTCTATGGCTAGTGGCTCTGTTAAATTCTTTTTCTCCTCACTTGCTGTACTGTAGCGAAGAGGTTCATGTTGCCTTTATGTTTTTCTAGGAGATGCAGCTACGCTGGAATCTGTTCCAGATCTTGTGAAGGCAATGTATGTAAACATTGAAAGCTTCCCTTGTGTCAGGCTGCTGAATCTTTCTGGTGAAATCGGCTGCTCTAGTGAGTATCTTTGTTTCCCCTAATGCTGTATGCTTATAGAATGGATTTGATGTTCTGTGTCCATAACAATCTTCAACAAGTCTGTGTTGTCTAGTGTAATTGGTTCTCAGTGTCTCTTTTGTTTAATCAGATCCTGGGCACGGCCTGGTTATTGCACCGATTGTAAGATTCAAAAACAGCGATGACCAGTTGGCTCAACCATCTGCAGTTCTTCTTCCCTTGGATCAGATGCCAGCTTTCTTTCTGAGGTATAAGATCAGATTGTTGAAATCCTGTGTTTAGATAATTGCAGATGTTTTTATAGTGTTTGTGCATGCCAGTGAAAAATGAAGTTTTCGTGTCTCTTCCTTGATGGGACAACAGAGATACTGAAGTTACATAATATTTCTGATTGTCTTTCATAGCTGCATTGCACTTGACACGTTGAGAGATGGTAACATTTGGTAGTTTGTATGTTCTTGTGCAGGGTATCCAATGAGCCAGAACTTTACCATAAGGTTGCCGGTGTACTGGTTGAATCAAATGGTGACAAGTTACTAGGTCAGTGGAAATATCTCCCTGTTTTTCGTGTGCTCTTTGTATGTCTTGTTGTCTTATCACCAAGAAAATGTTCTGTTTCTGACTGTAGAGTTGTCACCGGATAGAAAATTTCCACAAGAGGATTTTGCACCATACTCAAATGTCAGCCATGATTGGAATCCTGCTGTAAGTTTTAGGTTTTATTGGAATGCTACCACCCTTCAAGAGTTTACTTTTTCTTTTTTCGAAAAGTAGATTAACCCTTCAAGTGTTAAACGTGCTGTTCAGTTCAAAAATAGTTAAATGTGTAGTACCCCTTTAATGCAAAAGCTCTTATTGTGCTTCCAGTATACCTCTGTTAGCGGTACAGTTTTACCTTGTAGGGGTCAGGTATTATGTGGAACAGATATGATTTTCCCGTGTTTCTACTTTCAGAGGAGAGCACACAGACTCTGCGAAAGGTATTCCATCTGCTTTTATTCAGTTCAAAATTAACCAAAAGTTACAAGCCTATATAATTGGTCATTGCTGTTGATAACAGATTGCGGACAAGAATGAGAAGTCTAACAATGGATATCAAGCAAATGTAGCAGAATTTGACCTTGTTATGCAGGTTCAGAGTTTTTTCTGGCCATTTCTCTTTACTTCTATCAGTACATGTTTATTTATTGATAATAGAAGTATTGTCAGTGATGCATGTATTGTATACTTCTAAAATTGCATGAACCACAGACAACTAAAGCTGAAACAAATGGTTCAGAATCCTGCCTCAAAGAGCAGTCGTGCTTGCCCTTAGGAGGACAGAGGTCGGTACTTCCTTTCTTGCATAAGGCATCCTGCTCTTACGTTCACAATATTATGCATATAGTAGAGTTCCAAGATGTCTACCTCACATGTTGTTTTATCTTCTTTTTTTACGTCAACTTATGATCGTCGTGTTTGAAGGGCAGTGTATGGGCTTCGTTACCACCAATGAGCAATGCATCAGCAGAGCATCAGAAACCAATAATAATGGTTGTTGCATCCCAGGATTCTGCATCGTTCTTTAGGGACCGCAGTCTGGGTGCTGCTTCTCCCATATCAGTAAGTAGTAGAGACACATGATTGTCTTGTTTGTATTTCTTATTTGCATTACACAATAATATTAAATTTTACACAGGGATTGATTGCTTTGCTCACCGCTGTTGATGCTCTTTCTCACCTTCATGATCTAGGCAAACTCAAGAAACAGGTACTGTACGACCGAAAATTGCTTTATTAGTTGGTTCCATGTTATCACCGGTGTCCTGTACATCTCATCCGCCTATTTATATTCTTTGCTATATTGAGAGCATGCAGCTTTTGGTATCTTCCTCTACGTTCTTAGTTATGCATTGAATCAGTAGATTCAATGTGTTTGACATATTTGTGGTGAACTGGTGATTGGCTCCTAAGCCATCATGGTTCTTGTTCCTAACATCATCCCATATGTATTGCAGCTTGTATTTGCTGCTTTTGATGGTGAAGCATGGGGTTATCTTGGTAGCAGAAAATTCTTACAAGAACTGGATGAAGGTGATGATTCTGTGAATGGCATTAACAGCTCAATGATTGAGCAGGTGAGTACCTGATTTGATGGCACTAGCAATTGCATCATCAAACTATGATATATGTTTCTATATAGACGAGTTTTCCTAGGGACATCTTTTTCATATAAACTATGATATATGCGAATCGTCTATATGTTTCCATATAGATGAGTTTTCCTAGAGACATCTTTTTCACTCTTCATGCATTTCTGCATATTTTTGTTTATGGGATATAATGAATTTACATTCATGGATTTACTATATGTTTTAACTTTTAAGTCTCTTGAGTGCTATACTGCATTACTGCTATATCTTTCTGTTATTTCACAATTGTCTACCTATCATGCTTAATTTTTGTAACAAGCTGTTTGTGAACATAATTCAGGTACTGGAGATTGGTTCGGTTGGCAAGGGCATACGCCATGGAGATACATTATTTTATGCACATGCTTCAAGGGTAACGATTCTTTGAATCACGCATGACGCAAATTAATATATTGCTAGGTAGTATGGCGATATTTTTAGCTCACCATATTGGCCATAGAGATTATAACTATATTTTTCTTGCTAATTGTTCTTGACATATTATGCAAACTGGTTTTCTAGATTCATGGTGGTGGTGTAGTGGTAAAAACTCATCTTGTACTTGTTAAAATGTTTGATAAACGAATGCCTCTTTTGAGATACATGAGATCCGTGGGGTGTCGTTGTGCATGACTTTTTTTGCCTGTGATCCTTGTACTGTATTGTTTGAACAATATTTGTCAAATTTGTACTGAATATGTTTTTAAACATTACTTTATGAAGATATTTAGCTGTGAAGAGATCTGTCAGAGTAATTGTTGTTTCTTGAGTACAACACACTGGGAGTCCAATTGATAGCTGTGCTTGTACCTGTAATTGGGGTTTTGTTTTTGAATTTGGGGACTAGAAACAATAAGAAAAAAGTTCCATCTTGTTCATATGTATCTTCTGCTTGTACAGAATTCATCAATTTCAAAGAAGATTTTAGATGGTCTCCAAAGTGGCAGTGATTCACTTGGCTCTGATAATGTCAAAGTAAAACCAGCAGCTTCATCAAACCCTGGTGTACCACCATCTTCATTGATGTCATTCATGAGAAAGGTAATAGCCATTGGTTTCATTAAACCCTGGGAATTTAACTTTCCAAATCTGATCTTTTTTTTCCTTGCTATTCTCTTTGAAGACTATTGTGTCATAGTCTGTTTTCTGTTGACCCATCCGTGCAGAATACATCAACTTCAGGAGTTGTGTTAGAGGACTTCGATTCCCAGTTTTCCAATAGATTTTATCACAGCCATTTGGACAGCCCTGGTAAGTTGACCGTTCATAGATGTGGCCATTTGTCCCACCAAAGGTAGTTATGAATCTGTAAAGTTTTTCTTTTTTCCCACAGCAAACATCAATTCCTCATCAATAGCAGCAGCTGCTGCTTTGGTTGCGAGGTCATTGTACATTCTTGCTACTGGTGATATGACCGTCGATCTCATGACACTGAACACTATAAAAGTGAATGTTACACTGGTAGAAGAATTGATTGGATGTCTACTGACCTGTGATCCCGGTCTTTCTTGTGGCATCGCGAAGAGCTTCATTTCTCCAAGCAATGCCTGCCCGAGTCACTATGTTGGTGTTTTCCAGGACTCACCTTCTAGCACGCAGTCTCCTATATATGCAGATGATACCTCCCGGTTCATATGGAACTTCTTGGCAGACAGAACTTCAACTTTGGCAGTCAACGCAAACTCTTGTACTGGGAAGTGCAACAACGAAAGTGAAGTATGCGTAGGGGGAGAAGTGGAGGGTGGAGGCCTGTGCGTTGTATCGACAACAAGGTAAAATTTTCTTTTGTGGCACACATGCCCCTTCCGTTATGTAGAAATCAAATCAGCGCTGTGTGTTGATACATTAGCAGTTTAGTGATCATTACACGAAAACTTATAAACTGATGAAGTAAGGCATCTATAATGCACCTAGTTTTGTGCATCATGCTCGGCTGCTACGGAAGAACAAGCCATGATACGGAATTACTCTCATTTTACTTGCTTGTGATAGTCATCGATCGTCTAGTTTCAACCTTATGTCATTCTTATTTGGTCAAGGTGTTGTTTCCTTTTTGTTTGCTTGTCTGAATTGCTGTACTTTTGGTCGCTTGTTTAGGTACGTTCCTGCCTATTCAACCAGGCTGAAGTTCGAGGACAACGCCTGGCACGTTCTACCGGCAAACTCTTCTGACCCCATGGGTGCCGTCGACCCTGTATGGACCGAGAGCTACTGGAACACCATCGGCCTGAGGGTCTACGCGGTGCAGTCCACGACCTCCGACAGGCTCATCCTTCTTGCAGGGCTTGCCGTCACCGCAGCGTCGTACCTCGGGGTGATCGTCGGCAGAGCGTACATCTCGAAGATCACGAAGCGAGACTAAAAACATGACAACGTGTATCATATAGAACTGACCTGGCAACTTTGTAGGGATGGACCGAGTATGGATGTAATTCTTGAGCGGAGCGATGCAGACTTCCACCAGAGCATATGCATATGCATGTGGCCTGGGTGGGTTGCCGTGCGGATGTTGTTGGTAGGTACTGTAGGTGCTTTGGTAATGTGCTTAGAGCAGACTACTTGCGTGTGTATACTGGACGACAAGTGGTTTTTGTTGTGCACGTCTTCCCTGCGACTAAGACTTTGCCCAATCATTGTCTTCTCTCGATGAGATGGTTTGCTGAAATCAAATGCCTCGTGTGTGGAGTTCTTGTCCGGCACCGGCCCTCGGATTCGCCATGTGCGTGCAGTGCAAAGGTGCAACATGCTTGGTGGGTTGGTTAAGACTTGAGAGTGATATATCATGCGGAGTCGAGCTGCTTTTAGATGATGGCGAGCCCACTAGCCAGAAATTCAAACCTGGTTTTAAGCAGCGAGGTGAGCCGTTGGCCCGTTGCGAGGCGGCCGTGCCAGCTCGGGATAACCAAGCTCTCCATCCGGCGTGATGCGTTCACAACAAACAAGTGGAGTAGTGTCCGTCACGAAGCAAGTTTGAATCCGACCATGAATCCCGGTCAGGAGCCAACTCCTCTACACCCTATTTATTTGCCCTACCCAATCAACTGGCATATTACGTCTTCTACGATCCGAAACAAGCAGCATAGATAGATGGCATCGCCGTCACCGTGGCCTGAAAAGCTCCTCGGTCCCATCATCGCCGGCCTCCGCGCAACGTGCCGTTCGTGCCCCAGCGTTCCATCGCCGCCGCCGTGGTCCGAACTCCCACTGGACCTCCTAGGCCTCATCGTCGCCGAGCTCCCAGACCCGGCCGACCGCGCCCACTTCAGCTCCGTGTGCCGTTCCTGGCGCTCGGCCCCCTACCCCGACACACGGCAGCTACCGTGGGTCGACGCTGTGTGCCGTTCCTGGTACTCCGTTTCGTCTCCCGGGACACTGCTACCTTCGATCAGCGTCGACCGCCTACCAATATCGTCACCCCCGACCTCCCAACGCCAGCCACCACCATGGCGCCATATCTGGCGCTCGGTCTTCTCCCGGCGGCGGCAACATCCGTGGGTCGTGCTCCCGGGCGGCTTCTTCCTCGAAGACCTCCCTCCGGAGTTGTCCGACGTCTGGCCGGAACCGACCGCCTCCTTCCCCGAGAACCTGCGGTGCGTCGGCTCCACCGGCAGCTGGCTCGCCCTCGACCGCACGGACGGCGAGGGAAGGCATGCCTACTTCTTGCACGATCCTTTCTCTAGGGCAACCGTGCCGCTCCCGGAGCTGGACGCCGTCGTCGGCGACGTCTCCGAGTTGTTCACGATCCGCAAGGTGCTCATGCGGTCGACCCCTGATGACCTCATCGTGGTTATGACCAACAACAGGGATCTCCCTATATTTTCAGTGCAGCGAGGGAAAGGTGTGTTGTTACCACAGCCGGAAACAGCTCCCGTGGACTTGGGCACCGTCGTCGACATTGCCTTTCTTGGAGATAAACTCTACGGACTCACCATGGATGGACTTGTGTCCCTCCCCATCACCTTCGACGATGTCCACGACATACCCATGGCTACTAGTATTGAGCAGATCATATGGAGCAACATTGATTATGACGATGTAGCAGGCAATGATGAGGACGAGGACGAGGACAACACAGACGATGAGGGTGCCAAGCAAAACATTGGTGAGGTTGAGAATGATAATGACGAGCTTCGTCTTAGCGAAGAGGATAAAGCCGAACGGCGTAATCACATCAAATTGATGTTAAAAGCTAGGGACGGCAAGGTAGGCCCCGGCTTCCGGTGTGAAGCCGACTATATGATCTTTCGGTACTTGGTCGAGTCATGTGGGAAGCTTTTCATGGTGATTCGAGAAGCGGATAGCGCGAGATTCACTTACAAGGTGGAGCTTCTTGTGCTCGATGTCAATGCACCTGCATGGCTTCCGGTCTCCGGCGGCGGGCTAGGTGGCCATACGCTTTTTATCAGCAAACCTTCAGCAAGTCTGTTTTAGCTCGTGGGGAGGTAGAACCAGACGCTATTTATTTTGTCGATTTTGGTGGTGAAGTCTTTTGCATGAAATCCTCACAGGCGAGACACATTGGTCATTGTTGGAGGGAGAGATTTCTTGACTTCAATGCCACAACGTGGATCTTTCCTCCACACTGAACCAGTTTATGCATTAGGGGCGAACTGAGTGTAGCTCCTAAGGTTAAGTTTCTTGTGGTGAACCAGCCCAGCAGGGCACAAATCCTAGACTTGGCACTGATGCTTGCATTTTTCTAGATTTATTTTAGACTTTCCGGTGATATTCGTTCATTGAGAGAAGACATTCCATTCGACTACGAAGCGTGTGTGGCGACTTTGCCAATCTCAAAATGTTGTGCCGGCTTAGTATCTCGGAGGTGCTCATAGGATTAGGATGTGTGTGTGCGTGTGTGGGTGCGCGTGCGCGTGCGTGCGTGCGTGCGTGTGTGTGTGTTCATAAGTGAGTGTATTTGCATGTATGTGAGCATTTGCGCGATTATATTGTGTTAAAAAAACTTTATGTATTAGGTATCTTTTGCTTTAGAAAAACCATATTTGCCTCATTAGGTACATGCAGAGTTATGAGTAGTGGATGCTGATTTATTTTTAGGGTGTCAGTGTGTCACCGCAATTCAACTGTGTGCCTTTTGCCTATTACAATTGTGTCAAATATAGTTTACACTTTATATTATGGCATTCTAACGTTGGATACAACTAAGTATAGTATAACTTAATCCAGTACAAAACATGACTCTTAATAAAGGGAAAGTTATAACTACATCAAACATCAATTACAATTTGTAACGTTTGTTCTTTTTTGGCTACAGCAACATCAATTCTTCATCAATAGCCGCAGCTGCTGCTTTGGTTGCCAGATCATTGTACATTCTTGCTACTGCTGATATGCCCGTCGATCTCATGACACTGAACACTATAAAAATGAATGTTACATTGGATGTCTACTAACCTGTGACCCTTGTCTTTCTTGTGGCATCGCGAAGAGCTTCATTTCTTCAAGCAATTCCTGCCCAGGTATTTTGCATTTTCCAGGATTCAGCTTCTAGCACGCAGTTTCCTGCATACGCAGATGATACCTGGCGGTTCATATGGAACTTCTTGGCAGATAGAACTTCTACATGGCAGGCAACGTAAGCTCTTGTACTGGAAAGTGCAGAAAATATCATGTCAAAATAATAATAAAGGAAAGTGCAGCTACGAAAGTGAAGTATGCGTAGGGAGAGAGGTGGAGGGTGGAGGCAAGTGTGTTGTATCAACAATCAGGTAAATTTCTTTGGTGGTGCACATAACCCTTTAGAAATGTGGAAATCAAATGATTGATGTTTGGTATTCTTTGCTGTTACGTTAGCAGTTTACTAAGCATTAAATGATGATTTATAAACTGATGAACTAAAGCATCTACTCTCTCCGTTCCTAAATATAGGTCTTTTAAAAGGTTTCAAATGGATTACAACATACAGATGCATATAGACAAATTTTTTAGTGTAGATTCACTCATTTTGCTCCGTATGTAGTCCCTTGTTAGAATTTTTAAAAAGACTTATATTTAGGAACAGATAGAGTATAATGCAGCTAGTTTTGTATATCACCCTCAGCTACTTTTTTTATTAGAAAAGAAGGATGACCCTGTTGGGGAACGTAGTAATTTCAAAAAATTCCTACGCATACGCAAGATCATGGTGATACATAGCAACGAGAGGAGAGAGTGTTGTCTACGTACCCTCGTAGACCGAAAGTGGAAGCATTAGCACAACGCGGTTGATGTAGTCGTACGTCTTCACGATCCGACCGATCAAGTACCGAACGTACGACACCTCCGAGTTCAGCACACGTTCAGCCCGATGACGTCCCTCGAACTCCGATCCAGCCGAGTGTTGAGGGAGAGTTTCGTCAGCACGACGGCGTGGTGACGATGTTGATGTTCTACTGACGCAGGGCTTCACCTAAGCAACGCTACAGTATTATCAAGGTGGACTATGGTGGAGGGGGGCACCGCACACGGCTAAGAGATCAATGATCAATTGTTATGTGTAGAGGTGCCCCCCCTGCCCCCATATATCAAGGAGAAGGGGGAGAGGCGGTCGGCCAAGGAAGGCGCGCCAAGGGGGGAGTCCTACTCCCACCGGGAGTAGGATTCCTCCTTTCCTTGTTGGAGTAGGAGAAGGGAAGGAAAAAGGAGAAGGAAGGAAGGGGGCGCCCCCCCTCCCTAGTCCAATTCGGGCCAGTCCATGGGGAGGGGTGCGGCCACCCTTTGAGGCCTTTCTCTCCTATCCCGTATGGCCCATTAAGGCCCATTACGAATTCCCGTAACTCTCCGGTACCCCCGAAAATACCCGAATCACTCGGAACCTTTCCGATGTCCGAATATAGTCGTCCAATATATCGATCTTTACGTCTCGACCATTTCGAGACTCCTCGTCATGTCCCCGACCTCATCCGGGACTCCGAACTCCTTCGGTACATCAAAACTCATAAACTCATAATATAACTGTCATCGAAACTTTAAGCTTGCGGACCCTATGGATTCGAGAACTATGTAGACATGACCGAGACACGTCTCTAGTCAATAACCAATAGCAGAACCTGGATGCTCATATTGGCTCCCACATATTCTACGAAGATCTTTATCGGTCAGACCGCATAACAACATACATTGTTCCCTTTGTCATCGGTATATTACTTGCCCGAGATTCGATCGTCGGTATCTCAATACCTAGTTCAATCTCGTTACTGGCAAGTCTCTTTACTCGTTCCCTAATACATCATCCCGCAACTAACTCATTAGTTGCAATGCTTGCAAGGCTTAAGTGATGTGCATTACCGAAAGGGCCCAGAGATACCTCTCCGGCAATCGGAGTGACAAATCCTAATCTCGAAATACGCGAACCCAACAAGTACC